ATCTGAATAATAGTATCTAACGCACTTTGAGGAATTTAAAATTTTACATTTGGATTGTTTTTCTTAAAAACTTAATTTGAAAAGTGTTGAAATAAACTGATTTTTTTTTGATAATGTGACGTATACTTATATTTCATAACGAAGAATAAGAATTTATAAGCAATTAATTGTATTGTATTTACAATATAATTTTTATGTAATGATATTACTAAAAAATGTCATTATGATATATTTTATCATGACACATAGGTTTGTTTATTTTCTTACGCGACGCGACACCTGCCCGGAGAGGATCATTGTTACCTACACCTCTGTGTTGACTCAGCGGGTGAAATACAATACCTACAGAAACAGCAGACCTAAAAAACGGGAGGAGAACAAAAGGATAAAAAAATAATAAAAAAGGACCTTTTATCCTTGAGGGATCAAACTCGTTCACTACCCTCCCCAGCGATATTCGATAATGAGGGAGTTTGTCCCGAGATTATAGAGGAGGCATAGGTTGTACCTATGCTCGACTGTGGTCTATCTTGTCAGCATTGATCTCTGTAGTGATAACACATAGAATAACCAAACAACAATCAATAAACAATTTATCATCGATTTATTTATTTGACATTTATAAAATACTTGGAATATAATCATCTCGTAGATTATTTTAGATCTCCTTACTTTAGTATCTCTCCGATCTCCATCGGATCTTAGGTCTCCGTAAATGCATTTAACGTATAATTGGCATCCGCGAAAAAGTGTTGCATTTTGCCAATATAGGGTATTCAACACACACAATTGGAGAAGCTTCATAGTTCAATAAGACTATTCAAGTATAAATTCATTTTATATTTGGTCAGCTTGTCTCACTGGAAAATATATCTTTTTTTATAGTTTAACAATTAGGCAATAAGACGCTATCCCTGAACTTAAACTATCTATTTTATTATACTTACTCAAGACTGTTTCTATTCTAGCCCGTCAAAGACTTTCATGTCTAGGAATATTTTAATTTTTAAAACGTTAATGTGTGATAAGTATACAAGATCGATGGCGTATGAACCTTTCCTCTCCTCCCAAAACATTTTGTTGTTCTTCCCTTCTTGAAAACAGTGTAATCTAAAATAGAATTTTAAACATCGTAGGTCATATGCAATTACACTTTCATTGGTCTATTCTATTCTTTTCTCTTGTCCCCAGGATAGAAACTTTTCGTTTCGAAAATTCATAACCCTCTCTAAATGTGCTCCCCTCAAAATTTTTGATGGTGCAACTTGCGTCATGAAACACCCTTCTGGATACCCCTGGCAACCATAGCATCAAAGAGACTTTCGATTTATCTCGAAAACAGTACATTATGAGCTACTATAGTTCTGAAGGATATCCGCGTTGAAATCTTTATAATACAATATGTCCATTCTCGATCTTTTGAAACTATTTAATTGTTGAAACTTTCCTATTATTCAATGAGTTTTATTGTGGTTGTAATAAGATTTTACTAAAAAAAATTACCATAAATTGGAACTCTTCAATTCTACATGAAATTCTATTTCGTTTGATATCTCATTCAACAAATTCCATCTCTTCCGAGAGCCGGAAAAGAGATCTATACTATATATAGAATATATAGTGTTATATATATAAGATTCTATATTATATATGGCCTAGATGTTAACTAACAAGAATATCGTTTAACCCCGTCTCCCCAAATAATTTGAAGTAAAGAAAAAAATGAAATCACTAATAAATAAGCTACATGAACGATTAAATGTGTAAACTAAAATTAAGATTAAGAAAAGTCGACCAAGTCTAGTAGTAGATATGTAACTATTTTATTAATACTTAACTGTTTATTTTAAATTGTCATTTATATTCAAACATAATAATTTATGTATGTCAACAAATCCTAGGATTTTATGATTCAATCACCCCTAAATTTTCACGTGGTATACTTATCACATTTTTAGTCGGACTGTGGAAAACGTTATGTTATTTGAGATTGTACACGCTAAGAAATCATAGATATTTTTTACTTTTTCAGATTATTCATTTTTAGCAGAAAAAGTACAAAAAAATATACCAATATTGTGAAGGATGTCTCCCTTCCCCCTTGTGTTTAATCTAAAATAATACATTATACGATATTAAATTGTATTTTTTTTTTTGTTTTAGATATTTCAAGTATATATAAGTAAAAAAAAAAAAAAATCCTTACTACTGTACAAAATTTTGTTCCTACTATATATTTGTTCGTTTGACAATAATTTAATTATCATGAATTTTTACATATAATAATTTTTGTACACTCCCCCTAATCAAAATCGGAAGTCTACTACGCCTATGATTCATACAGTTTCAAAAAGTTTATTGTAACATTGCTTTAAATGTCGTATTACCGATAAGAGAATGGATTAATTAATATTGACAATGGGAATGAAACTTGCTAGTAGTTAAATAAAATAATTAAGATATTTTGTTTTTAATAATAAACTGTTTGGAGAGGTTTTATGAATTGAAATAATTTTTAGTTATATCCAGCGTCCATAATTATTCTGTTATATTAGTGTATTTGTCCAGGCAAAAGCTGGAAGATTGTCTCCTTGTTAGTAGAGGAAGCGGTACGGTAGGTAGCGACGACGTCAAACCTCGTGATTTGTGGGGCCCCGTTAAACGGACCAACCAACTGGGTTTTTATAACCGTCTGTCCTATGCTAGCTGATTAATGATTGGTCAGGAGCCAAAGCATCTGACAAATGTTTGTACACACTCACACTCTCGTCCCTGACAGTCGTCATTAGACGTATAAATTATACCTCTTTGTGTTTATTATCGATGCCACTCCTGAATCGATTAGGATTTACATACATTACTTCGTCTCGGCTCGGTTATTACCGGTCCGTTTCGCAGGAGATTATTGATGTTGAGGCCTGGAGGAAGTGAAAATCATTGTTTTCTGTTTAGTCAACGAACGTTAGCTACATTGAATATTTAAATATGTGGAGATAAAATCTTAAGGAGATATTTCAAACCATCATCATAACCGCGCGGCTATATTATAACGGGACCTATCAAACATAAAAATTGAGATTTTTTATTACTCATTTAGCCATTCGGGTTCAACGAAGTTGCATCAACCAACATTGATCAATCATCGATTTCAACAAGGATTTCCCGTAAATTAGTATAGCTGTTGTTTTTTTAAATTCGTTTGAGCTATCTGAACAAAAAATAAATATCAGTTTTTTACTTGATAATTAATACAGATTTTCTAATTAATTGGACATTCCAATTATTTTTTTATCTTTTGTGTAGATTAATCATTCATCTACACTGTATGAGAATTTGTATAATTAATGACAGTCATAAAATTATTTAGAAATTTAAAATAATGAAGGATTTATGTTGTTCTAAAAATGTGCAATATGAACTTATATTTTAAGATTTATTAAATTTAATGTATATAATTTAAACTATAAATTGTACATTTTTTTCTGTACTTAAGATGTCACTGATTACATTTGCATATCGTATCAGTTTATGGTAAGTATGCTTACAGTCACTACTCCTATCGCTACTTCAGTTAATCGTATGACGTTAACTGAAGTAGTAATTACATTCTTTGGTAGTAAAAAAAAATCAGTATTCGAGTAAAATATTTGTTACTCAGTACTAAAAGTACCATTTGCCCATCTCTGTGCGTACCAAACACGGCAACGAAACGTCGGCTACAAATAAAACTTAAAAAAAAGAAAGGGAGTATTTTATAAACCAGTGTTAACGCTTTATTTTTATTAAAAATTGAAAAATAATTCATTATAGATATGTAATAATTTATCAAAGTATCAATAAAAATATTTAGACGAGCAAGATAATTATTAAACGTTGTATTTGTTAAATATGCTGCATAAATTTACAAATCCTTTCAGACAACGCATCCTTATCAAGATCTGACTGAAGTAAGGTGTCACTCTTCATTTACGAACTCATTCAAGCTACTGCCGTTGAGTCATGAATGCATTCTTGGCGGTCAATACACAACTCAATTGATAAATATGTTAACGAGGCTATTTATCGGTAGACAATGAGTCCTTTGATAAAATAAATTAAGGTTTAAATGTTTAAAATATTAATTGTATACGTTGAAAAAAATGATATCCTAAAATATTCAAATTAAAATTATGTTTATTTTATTTTTTGTATACAACATGTTATAAGTAAACAGTTCAAATACGTCCTTGCTCACAAATTGTATGCGTTGCGTGCTTTAAAATAAATAGAAGTTAATTTCTGTAAACTTCTCAGTGAGCCGCCGGCATGTCAGTTTTAAATTTGATTCATTTATTCCGTTAAATATTTGTATTTATTTCATTTATGTCGTGGGCTCATTGCCAAAAGTCACAAAGTAACATTCCTTAAAAATTAAATATTAGTGATATAAGAACATTATAGTGTAACTATATATGTTAAATAAAAGGGTATGTGTCACTTTCATGAACTTAAAGTGTTTTTGTATCGATAGATACCGAAAACATACTTGAAAATTAACCTATGTCAGAAATGCACTTAATGACTTTTTGCAATAAAACAACGATGTAGATTTTATATTAAACTTATATAAAATGATTTAATTAAGACTGAATGTACAGATAAACATATATTAAATGAATTAGTAGAATTATTCAGGAGAAGAACATATATGTGTATGGGGAAATATCACACGTAACGTATGGGAACTTGAAATCTATATCAGTAATTTCTAAGAAATATTCTAGTTTCATCTCGTATTTCAATCATCAACCATCTCGTTAGTAAGAATAGATAGTAGATATCAAGCAGTTAATTAATATGAAGAAAGAATTGACCTCTGATAACGATGTTTGTGCTACTGATTTTCGAATGTTATCCAATATCAGATGTCATTTCTTTCTCAATATTAATTATTTTCTACAGCGAATAATTAATGGTATTGTTAATTAATTGATTAATGGAATCATTTATATGGAGCGTACCTGTTGTTTACAATATCCGTTAGACGCAGAGCAGAGACAGACTATCCGACGACACTGCTCACCCCACAGCACCAAGACTCGCACTGACTGTCCGGCCTGCGGCAGCTGGGAAGGATTGGTGGGGGGAGGGAGAGTACCCCCCCCCTCCCACGTGGGGCCTAACTGCTTCGAGATTTGTGGCCTGGTCTGTCAATCGTTATGGTTCGGGATGACTTGGGGTGCCCATATTTCATCCCTTAGCAGTTCATTCACTTCGTCCCTGAGGTAGAGCAATTCTAAAATTCAAGCACTAGTCATGCTATGTGGTCGTAGTCAATAGTATTTAATCAAAATTATAAGTAGCTGAATATTATGTATACATACATAAGCAAGGGCCGAATATTACTCGGATAATGCATTTTATATATTTAAAACAAATTAATTTTTAAATAGAAGGAATATTAAGTGACTCTATTGATTTAAGGTATTGTATAGAATGCACCATTAACTATAAAATGTATTTTATAAATTATTTTTATTAAAATTAAAAAAAAAAAATAGAAATAATTTTAATATTTATTCAAAGCTAATTAAAATAATATAATTAATAATTGTTATTAAATTCAGTAGTATCTGTATTTATTCAGAAAAATCAGGCTGTTACGTTTGATAGATAGTATGGTCAGTAAATTTAAAAAAAAAAAAAATAAATAAAATAAAATAAAATATATATATATATATATATATATATATATATATATATATATATATATATATATATATATATATATATATATGTGTATATATAAGTTAAGCGTCTCCGGGCTTTGTAAATAAAAAAAAAGAAGGAAAGAGGAACGAGAAACAATACTCACGGCTTCTGAATTAACACTGCTTTATTCGTTCAATAATCTGCCTTATATACAATTGCTATGTTTATTTACATTACAAGATGGTATTAAGGCTGATATCGCCAGTCTCCGGTCTTTATCTCCCCCCCACCAGTTTACGAATAGGATTTTCGGAAACTTATAAATTCCTAGATCGGAGCCACCGGTATCAGCCTTAACCCTTTACAATTTATTCGTACCAGTATAAACTTAAAGTACACCAAACCTCACTTCCACTCCGCTGGAACGAGAAATAAATAAAAAGAAATAAACCACAGAAAGTAAACACACAACGTCTTATTAACAATGGACAGAACTCTTAATCCTATAAAAATTACAATCACCTCTATTATGCTGCCATATCTTTATTTACAAGAACAACAAAAATAATGAGAGAAAAAAAAAATGACATCATCAACAGTAATAATAATAAAAAAAACATATTTTTTTTTTTTTTTTTTTTAATACGCGATAAGGGTACTACGAATCAGTTGGTTTCTGTACCGGTTCTAACATTGGGAGCTTCAATTGTTCAATATGAACAGTTCTCCTCTTCTTAGGTTCGCTAATGCTTTCAATGGTTACTAGATTATGCTCCCTAATAGCAACCACTCTGAATGGGCCCTCGTACCGTAACAATTGTTTCCCTCTGTTGGTTCCAATTCTACGATACACTATTGTTCCGATTTTTAATTCTCCCATTCGGTCACGTACCTGCACATTCTGCCGCGCTACCCGCTTCTCCTTTTCCCGCTGAATTCTCCCCGCTACCTTTCCCCACGTCTTTCCTACCTCTACCCTAGTACTCTGGATTTGCTCTACGAGATGTTCATCGGTCGTCGTTTCCCCCCAATCTCTCCTTGGCCTGCGCATCCCGAATAGTATTTCCACAGGTGAAAACCCCGTTACGGAGTGGATCGAATGGTTGTAAGCTGTTACGGCTTTCTTCATCGCGACATCCGGCTCCAACCCTTTCTCTCCCTGATATACACGGATGTGGTCACTCAGCGTGCTGTGCAAACGTTCGATTCCTCCTCTACTCTTAGGGTGTCCCGGCGTGTTATAATGCCACACAACCTCTAACCTTTTCACCTCCTCCCTAATCGCGGTATTGTCGAATTCTCTGCCACCGTCTGATGTGATCCTCTCGGGAACTCCGTAAAACTGTATCCAGATTTGTAGGGCTTCCACAACTGCATTGGCAGACTTGTCGATGACCTGATGTGCCATAGCTACTTTACTAAAGGTGTCGATGATCGTGACCCACTTGAACCCTTTCCAGGTGAATGTATCGATCTGGAGGTCTTGTAGCGGCATATTCCCTGTAGGTGTCTCTTCCTGAACTCCTCTGGGGGGGTGTCGATCATACTTTGTGCGCATACACACCTCGCATTTCCCGATGATTCCTTGGATAGATTTTTTCATTCCCCACCAGAAATACTTTCGCCGTAATGCCTGCAACGTCTCGTTGACGCCACGGTGGTTGGTCTTCCCCTGGTGGTATGCCAATGTAATTGCTTGTTGCTGCTCCTCATCCTGTACGGTTTCCACTGCATACTTGCACCGGATGATCGTTCTATCCATGCCTATTCGCTCGGATCTCCACATCCGCTTTATTTTCTCCCATACCGTGTTGTTCCCAACATAGAGATGGTGTGTCTTTCCCGGTTCCGTGGCGTCCTTCAGTGCCGTACGGATTTGCTCCTCGCTCACCCCGGGTTGCGACCAAATGACGCGAATCCTACTTTTCCCGTATCTTCGGTAATCTATTTTCATGATCCCTGTTGTCCTGGTTTTCCAGATTACCTGTCTATGCTTGTCGTTGATGATTTCGTCTATTTCCTCCATCGCCACTGGTCTTTCCTCCGCTGAGCTATCTTCTTCCGGGGACCCCTCCCTGTCCTCTATACTGACGGTATCATCTGCCCCTTCACCCTCAGGAGTCCATTCCCTCAAGAATTGGCGCACGTCCCGCGATGGACCTCCCCCGTCCTCTTCTACCGCGTTGATCATGATGGCCCTAGAGAGCCAGTCTGCCACCACGTTTTCCTTTCCCGGCTTATACACCACCTCCATGTTGTACTGGCTAAGGAATTCTTTCCATCTCGTGACCCTCGCAGAGGTTTCCTTAAGTTTTCCTACCCACTGAAGGGGTTTGTGATCGGTGTGGACTCGAAACTTCCTCCCAAATATATATGGCCTGAAATGGTCGATGGCCCACACTATCGCGAGTAGCTCCCTCTCTAACGCGCTGTACCGTGATTCCGCGCTCGTAAGTCGTCGGCTCGCGTATGCTATCGGACGTTCACCCTCACTTCTGCCCTGGGATAAAACGGCCCCCAACGCGTATTCGCTCGCATCGGTGGTGACGTTGAACTGCTTCTCAAAATCCGGGAACGCCAATACGGGTTCTGCCTGCAACCTATCCATGCATTTCCGAATATTATTTTCCATTTCCGGTGTCACCACGATCTTCGCGCCTTTCTTCAGCAAGTTATTGATAGGTACCAAGTATTCTGCCATCTCAGGTACGAATCTTCTATAATAATTCAGCGTCCCGAGAAGCCTACGAATCCCTTTAACGTCCCGTGGCACCGCCATTCGTGTGATAGCCTCCACCTTTGCCGCATCCGGTCTGACCCCCTCGCTAGAAATCGTGTGGCCTAAAAAATTGATCCGCGTTTGTCCCAACAGGGACTTCTCACTGGACAGTTTCAGCCCGAATTGTCGCAGCCTTTCGAATACCGACCTCAAATGCCCCACGTGTTCGGCTTCCGTTCTGCTAAAAATCAGCAGGTCGTCCATGTATACCTGACATACGGAGTCGTCGATCCCCCTCAGAAATTCGTCCATCAGGCGTTGAAACGTTATGGGCGCATTCTTCAGACCAAACGGCATTCTGGTGAATTCGTAATGCCCCCTTTCGAATGTAAACGCCGTCTTATGTTGGTCCTTCGGGTGCATCCGTATTTGGTGGTATCCCGCCTTGAGGTCCAACGTACTAAACACCACGGCCCCACTCAACCTATCAAGTATATCCTCGAATCTAGGGATCGGGTACTTTTCGTCTACCGTGTTGTCGTTCAACCTACGATAGTCCACTACCACTCTGTATTTTTCCTTATTATCCCCCGGCGCTGCCTTCTTTTTCACTGCCCACAGGGGACTATTAAATGGCGAGGTGCTATCGACTATGATCCCTTGCTCCTTTAGGCTTTCCAATTCCTCCCGAATATGCTGCCTCAGCGCCTGCGGGTATCTCCTTTCCTTTACGTAGGTCACCCTATCTTGCTTCAGTGGAACTTCGTGTACCGTCTTCCCTGTTACCCCCAATACCTCGCCCTCCCTGAAGAAAATATCTACGAACTCGGCTTGTAACGCCTTTCTCCAGTCCTCCACCCTGTTCACCGCTCCTATCCGCACCCTTCTTTCTCTCGCGACCCCTATACATCCGAATTTCCTCTTTCCCAGCCTGATACTCCAAGCTCCTCTACGGTTTCTAATGCTTACCCCTACCTGTCCTAACAGATCACACCCTATTATGACTTGGTACTCCCGCGTCATGCTCTCTACCACATGCACCTTTAGCTCCCCCTTTTTTCCCTGCCCACCGATCAAGCGTAATTGACGCTTCCCCTTCTACTTTACAGGGACCACCCAGAGTGATTAGCTGGCAGCCACAGTTTTGTATCCGGAGTACCCTCTCGCTCCCGCACACTCTCCCCAACGCCCCCCGAGTCAAGATAGTACTCGAGCTCCCTGTGTCCACGAGACACTTCACTCCCCCGTCTACCTCAATAATCGGCAACCAGCATGGCTTACCTCTAATATTGTTGCAGGTTGCTGTGCGGTCGCCTCTCTGCTGACACCCTTCTCAGATGCCACCTCGCTTCCTCCTTACCGCCGTCGCTCGTCGTTGCTCGCTCCGTTGGCTGCTCCTGCCTCCTTCGCCTCCACTGCTGGCTGGCTCGTCAGTCTCCGTTCCCGACGTCCCCGACTCCTCGGTTGCCTCTTCCGAAGATCCGTCTCTCTGCTGCATCCTAGCTCGTTTTTTCAACTTTTGAGCGTTCACCTCCATTGGCTCGTCTAGAGGTCTCTCTCTCCTGCGAAACATGTACGGGCACTGTCTGGCAATATGCCCTTCCGTCCCGCACTCGAAACATCTAGTGCGCGGACATTGTGCTACCAAATGTCC